GGGTATAGGCCAAAAAAGCGCTGCAGGATCGCGATCGCAAGAAAAGTCATACGCGGCACGTCGCGAGCCGAGCGCATACCTTCTCACACTCGGGCAAAAGTACACACCTTTACAAAGAGAGAAGATCGAGTTCTCTCGCTCGCTCCGTCTCTTTCTTTCGTTCCTTTCTCTGCGCAGGGCAGGCTATGTGCTGCTGCTGCACATGCACAGTCGAGCTCCCTCTCTCTCTCTCTCTCTCACTCGGATCGGAGAGCTCACTCCGATGTCGGCTTGGTGGCGGCGACGACTCGAGAAATCGCAGTACGCGCGATCTTAAATCATCCTATATGCTCCTTCGCACACACGTCTCGTGTATGTATAAATGTACCTGAAACTTGCCTCGTGCATATGTGTGTGCGTATAGCTATTACATACATTGCTCGGCTTTTCAGATACGTGTCTAGGTATAGAATTGCCTCGTCGACGAGACGAGACGAAACGAACGACGAAAAGAGCGAGCGAGAGAGAAATAATCTTTCTTATATCTTGGAGCGAGCTATTGTAAATACGCAAATGGCGAGAATGTCTCGTATTTATAGTGACAGAATTTAAATCGCTGTATATACACGAGTCGTAGCGGACAAAGCCCCGGTATAGATTCGCGCGAGTCCGATATCTCGTCGCGCACGTCGAGCGAGAGCAAAAAAGCCGGAGCTCGTCCGTAATATAGCGAGTATAAGCCTGCGCTGCGGATCGCGACCACAGAGACTGCACTGCTGCGAAGATCGGCGGTCGGTGCGCGACTCCCTGTAATTACAACGTAGAGCCAAGACCCGAGTGTCCGAGCGAATTTTCCATTCTCGCCTTTTCATTCCATGCCAGCTCGCGAGTCCCTCTCTTTTTCTTTTCTATATATAAAGCACAAGGCGCTGTGCTGTGCGTGGCGTATACCGCCTCTATTATTATTGTAGCATCTGCACACACGTGTGTGTCTATATTCGTATGCGTGGACGTGCAGCGATGATTTTCGTTCCGAGAAAATGTAAGCAATCCGCTGAGTCTCGATTTGCTAAAAGACGACTACCACGACCACTGCGGCGTGTGCCACATATTGCATTTTATTATATATTATATTACATCTATATGTGTGTCCCTCTCTTTCTACAGGCCGATGTTTATTTTTCGCTGTTTAGAATAAAAGAAAGTAACGCCTTTTGTTAGATGTTATTAAACGTGGGCCATCCCTACGGGACGATCATTCTTCGCAATGTGCCTCGCGGAGATGATCACGACGCCGCTGTCTTATATATACCTCGAAGTAAAGCCGGTATATCGCAGACACGCGCGCACCTTTGCATTATACGGCTTTTGCCATGGCTTATTATAAAGGAGCGCAGGTGGCTCAATCTTATACACGTATTGGCCACCTCTGTATATATTCGCGTGCCACAGTATACGCGAGATCGTTTTGGAAGTCGACTCTAAAAAGAGAAGCTATACCTCCTCCCAAATGAATCGCGCACACATGCCCTTTTCTATATATCTACGCATTCATTTTCACTCCCAACTGTTACATTTATTCGAGTCTGCAAATAAAGTTGTATAGCTTCTATAGGTTCTGTACCGCTCCATTGTTTTGAATTTTGAATTGTTTTTTATTTCTTTTTTTTTCTGATACTCAACAACTGTGAGATAATATTATGGAGTAATGAGTAGGGCATAATCTCTTCATTTATATTCGTGTTTTTGTCAGCGCCGCAAGTTCAGACATTCGATCGGTTGTGATCTTCTCTTTGTTTTAATATACGACCGCTCGAGAGGACGTCGTTGACACACTACTCGATTTCGTGTTTGCTTTTGTATCTCGTTAAAACGAGTTTACTGCTGTCCTGCTACTCGATATTTATGTAAACACAAACATGAAAAAAAACATCGTTATGCATCACTCTAGCCGACTCCCGTATGATTTTAGAAAAATCGATGGATGTTCCCTTACTCGGACACGCGTAGCATATAGATTGTCCATTTATAGACGTCTACGCGAGTGCATCCTCGTGCGTCCCGGATTAATTAAATATTTTTATAATCTCGCATTTCTAAAAGGCCGCGAGTAGCCGGTTATAATGTTGGTATACGGATCGTCTAGGTACACATATCGATCGTCAATTAAAGCATGTATATTTTTTTCTTCTTCAGCTGGTTCTTCGTCCGTCGTCGTGCATTGCTTCCTCCGTGACTCATCGCATATTTTTCGTCGAGTACACAACGTATAGACTGCAGCGCAAAAATAACGAGACTCGTGTTATACATGCCTTATAATACGAAAACACAAAGTACTTCTGTGAACGAGGACTCGTTTGCTCGTATTAATACGCGCGCGCATACATGTGTCGCGACTCCGATTCCTATCTCAGCGATTATATTATGCTATGCTCTCGCGCGCGTCGCACATTGTCTTGCTCCTTTGTAGCATTCATACTTGAAAATATTTATTTCTTTAACGTCGTCGTGTGCTCATCTCTCTCTCTGCACACGGCTGGCTGCTGAACTCCCGAAATTTCGCTCGAGTCCTATATAGCCGCGGAGAGCTTGATCGATGAATCAGTGATGATCTCCTTTTATAGAACGCAAATGTGTGTGTGAGTCGATCGTGTCGCTCGCGTGCGCGGGCAGTACTTATATACTTAGCCACACCGAGAGAAGAAAAAAGGAAACAAAGAGATCCCCTGGCGATAATTATGCAAATATTTATCTTTCACCGTTGGCCAGCGAGCTTATACTCGAGCGTGATTTTTCAATGCTATTGAACGCTTGTCATCATTTTTTTCTCTTCTTTCTCTTATTTTATTCGCAGCTGCTGCCGTGTCCGCTTGGCATCCTCTAATACCGTATTAATTGTATAATTCCGACTTCGTTTTCCTCCGAGCCCTCGATGTATCGGGCGCGCAGCTCGTTTATTAGGCATTAATCCTCAAAGTTAAACGAGGCGAGAATCAAAAGATCCATTTTACCAAAGTTTTATGGTCCACGCGAGAGTCGGAAAAGTCGACGACTCTCGCCCACACGCTCGATTAAGTTTGGCTTGGCTATTACATTATGATGGACATTCACAGTAGAGCGCGCGCGCGCGCGCCAAATCTCTTCTGCTGCGCTTTCCTTGCGGAATGAGTATCGGCTAATTGAGCTTATATGCTTATAGAGGCCGGCGATATCGTGCAGCCGCGGCGCCATAATTCGGTGCCGTGTGTACCTCGCGTGGTTACCGGGCCTTTGTGTTTATTGAAATTTCACGAGAAAATAGCTCGGCACTTTCTCTTGTAAGGAATGCCGTACGTAGCTTATAACATGTACAAGACCGAGCTGGCGAGATGATGCTCTTTGCCCTATGGTTTTATAAATTGCTAAACCATTCCCGTGTCAAACATTGGAAGCTTTTAACGAAACAAATTACCGAGCGAGCCAGCTCGTTCGCAAAAAAAAGGAATAACTTTACGAGTTTTCTTGTGTAGCTCCTTGTCGATCGCGAAGCGGTGCGGCTAGTTGATACAAAACCACAGCTGATTTACATTTTGCCTGGTACAAAGAGATTTAAAACCGTGTTTCATGGCGTTTGCAATGACGGTATTTTTATTTACCTAATTAAAAATTCGCTCCCTAGCAAATATTTATTCTAAAATATATTTTTCAAACTATATATGCACCAAATCATTGGTAGATAATGAAGAAGGATCGAAAAAACAAATGTGTTAAAAATACGCTGACGCGTATTCAACAACTATATTCGTATATTAAGATAATTTTCGTCAACGTAGTAAAATGAAAATATCGCTTGAACTGCACACAAGTCTTATTTCTCGCGCAGCTCGCAAGCTCTCGCAAGTTGTTTTTTCTAGGTCTTTTTTTACTCATTATTTTCATCTCTCGTTCTCGGCTCTCTGACAAGTGCACTCTACGCACTAAAACTAAACTTGATATATTATCTCTTATTCTCTGTCGGCGTCGCGCGACACGTTGCCCTCACTTTCAAAGTGTCGTACACGCATATATTTTTAACTCAAAACCCGTAAGTCTGCGTGTGCGCGTGTATGCACGCATAAATGACTTCTCGTCGGAGTGCGCGTCGCGGCTATAGGTCAAATGCATCGTCCAAAAATATATAATGCGCGTTACGCACCTCGCTGGAAAACAAGTTTTTTAAGTTAAAATATTTCGATGTGCTCGCGTACATGTTGCAATTTGCTTCAGTTGTAATTAGCGAGAATCGCACTTCTCCTTATCCGACTGCTAATATTCCATGTTGCAATTGTGAGCAATATTACGAGCGATTTCTATGAAGCGGAAATTAGGACGATTATATACGTTCCGGAGCCTGAGCGGAGGGGGGGGGGGGCTTAACAAAACTAAACGCGCCTTACGAAATATTTCGCGCATACACAAATTAGACGATATTCGACCGAGAGAGTTAATGTATAACGCGTTATATCCTCGAAAGAGAGGAAGAAACGAGGAAGGAAAAAAATAAATAAATAAACGAAGAGGAGCCGAGGTAGGACCGGGCGGAGTCGATCCTCCCGCTTTCATTCATAAGAATAGCTCGACGCGACGCGCACGATGCAATTCAGCCTGCAGCTGCACAAAACTCCTCTTGCGCTGCCTTGATTTCAGTCAACGCGCAGAGTATACCTGTATATATACGTTCGCCGCGTCTCTCTCTCGTCCTTTGCGCGTCTCGCACATACGGCGGAGGGGGCCTCTCGACACGGCTGTCTAAGGCTATAAGGGAGGGGATCGTGAACGCGTGTTTGCAGCTGTTCGCCTTTTTCGAGACCGGCTCGGCAGCTTCACTCGAGACTCCAGTCTTGCCATATTCGTCGAGCAAGTCGCACGCGTCGCGCTCCCAAGCCCAAAGCTTCGCGCATACATTGATGTCACATCTACGACATACTTGTGGATTGTTTTGTTGTTTTGTTTTTTTTTTTTTTTTGCACATACTAATGGACGTGCTTCTGTGTCGTTAATGGTTCGCGTGTTCTGTAACAGTGCTTAAACCGCATTACTGTGCCGTTGGAAGGAAAAAGAAAAGCTCGAGCCTTTTCTTCGGTTGTATAGCAAAAAATTTGAAACGAGTCAAAACACGAGTCAATCATGGTGCGCGGATTATCCCAGTGGACCAAGACCCTGTCTTTCCCGTCGAGAATATCGCCCCAGCGAAAGGAGAGCAAACTGCAGCAGGTCAGCCCGAGCGTGAGCCCTACGAGCACCGCGGCCACGACGCCCATGAGCACCATGAGCAGTCGCAGCAACGCGGCCAGCTCGGAGAATCTCCACGACAAGGCCCCGACGATCATCAGCAATTCCATGAACGCCGAGCCCGAGGTGACTACCCTCGCAATGAGCAACAACAATAATCACAACAACAACAACAACAATACAAGCACTTCTAGCTGCACCTCGTTGCCGTCTTATTCCCAGTCACCGGTACGTGACTCGACGAATTCTTTTATTCTTTTTTACTTTTTTTTTTTAATTTCTCTCTCATCGATCCTTGTATATATGCGTGTACGCTTTGGTGATCGAGCGGCTCTACCACACGTTGCGAAAGATCCGTCGATATCTCTATCGTGCACGAACTTATACAACAAATCTCAGCGTTTACGTCTCCCACGAGCGATGCATCATTAAAATCTCGCAAAGTGTACTCGGTAAAATTAATTCATTCCTATACTCTGTGGCAGACAATTAAACCTGCTCATAATCGGTTAAATTTTCCCTCCGCGTCTATGGCTCTTTAATCGCGTGTAGCCAATAAGTAAGAGTAGTGTAGGTTCCTCGAAAGCGAATTGCTCAACGCGCGCGTACGTACCTATATACATGAATCCAGTCCACATTACAATCGAGCCCGAATGTGTCAACCTATGATATCAAAGAGAATGTGCCGCGCGATGGTATTATTCATGAATTAAGTACAGTTAGACAAGGCGTCGCAACCGCTACATGTAATATCGTCGCGGCTTGTCATTAGCCGATCCGCCAAGCACTGTCCATGCAAATGTCCATCGTAACGAATTAAAAGAGTATACAACGTTTATAAATATCTCTTGGCTGAATTTGAAATTCTTTTACGTGATATTCAATCGTATTATTATAGTTTAGTCGAGTATAGACACGAAAAAAAAGGATACCGATAAGTGCAGAGCTCGAGCGACCGATAAAGCTTCTGCAAATGTCAACAATGCCACTCATCGAAAAGATGATCGGCTGCCATGTCTCCGTATCTCTTTCTTGATATAAGTACACTTCGCAGATAAATCGTAAAGCAAATATATCTGGAAATCTCAATGATGTGTATACATACGATCGCATGTATAAATAGAGAAGAGAGAAGAAAGAGAGAGAGAGAGAGGATGAAAAAAAGCACGACCGTGACATTATATAGATAGCCGTAAACTGCGTGTCGGATAATTTTTTTTTTAAATGTAATATAAAATATAATATAATAAGACGGAGGGCATAAGCTGCATGTTTATATTACAGCACCAACGTACTTGGATTTAAGCTATCCACGCCCGTGTCGGGCACGTTGTCGCAGTTTTTTCTTCTCTCTCTCTCTCTCTCTCTCTTTCTCTCTTCATGACATTAGATTTTTCCTAGGAAACTCGAGGGCGCGTGCAAAAGTACACTGCCTGCGTACAACTTCTTTGTGACCATGTTTATTTTTTAAATGCCACGTTCTAATATACATAGTACAGTAGTAGTGGAAGTCTGCGAACGATTTAGCGAGGCCAGGGTTATTAACTTCTTAAACGGAGCTTTTGTGCCATTGTCCCATTGTAAATGTTCAGTGCGCTGGATAAGGATTCGTTCTCCTATTGGTTTTGCATGCAATTCTAGATGATCTCTGTATTTTTTTTCTTCTATACCAAAAGGATTATAAATGCGTATTCAAAGCTGGAGCAGTGCATCAGCCTATATTTAATGAATTAAATATATTTATACGTACACATATCAATGGCGTATCGAGAAATGAGATTACTCGGATCAGCTTTTCCCTGTCCCGGCAAAGAGCAAAAATCCCATGAACCTGAATCTTCTTCTCCTTCCACCCTCGCATCTTGCTTAATTAGACGTCCGAAAACTTTCATCGTTTGTATACATACATTTTCCTCCTCTCCAGCAGCGCGTCAATCTTTGTACATAATATACGAATTTACCTTTCTATCCGAGCTCACCGCGAGAGTCTCTCTCTCTTATATCTCTGTCTCCGTCGAAATAAGAAAAGACGAGCCATCGTAGATCTCTATCCGTGGGCCGACAATGCCCCGCTGAATAATTACATATTATTCATCTGGCCATTTCCATGCCCGGCGCTCTGTAAATCAATCGCTTGTCTCTGCGCGAACCAGCCTCGACTATATCCTCTACTACAATTTAAATGTATAGATCATTATTATTATCATTCAAAAGCGTGAGTTGAAAAAAAAGTATGAGAAAAGGAAGAAAATCGAAAAACGAGAGTACCGAGAGAGATATATTAATATATCTTGTGCCTCCTCAAATTATTAACATTATAATCGAGTCTCTGAAAAAGACACTCGAGCATTGACCGCAAACTGCTATATATTTATGTCGGATCATTGAACCATTAGATCGTAACACAAGTATGTACTTTTTCGCAGCTGCCCACCCATACGTATGTAATATTGCGAATCTTTTATCGCAGCACATTTTATTGTAAAGAAAATTCAACTTATTCGCCGCAAAAAAGCCCGTCGTCTGTGTACATAATTATAGCGTATATTGTTCGCGCTGACCAGCAGGTAATTACTATTCGTAGACTGCCACAATAAACGTAACGTTTAAAAATAGCTCCTATACACACCGTCCGATCCATACACGTGTGTAATAATGCTGCATATGCAGAAAAAAGCCATGGGAACATTAACTCTGTCATGTGTGTGTGTGTGTATGTACGTACATATTAATCGTCAAAAAACCGCAAATGCTTTTCCCACGCTGACCTCACTTACACCCCTTTCCTCTCCGAAAAGTATGCGTGCCTAAGTGAATAAAAAAGGAAAGAGTGTAAAAAAATTAAGTCCGTTGCGTTATCGTAAATCGGTAAAGTTCGTTGACAATCGCCTATAACGAGAATCTATATAATATAAATATTTTATTATGTAGTTAATAACTTCCTCCTGGTTTCGGGAGCCAACAACGATAATACGTGTGCACTTGTAGGCGCAAAGCACAGAAGCTAAAGAAGACTAGAGAGAGAGAGAGAGAGAGAGAGAGAAAGAGAGAGAGAAAGAACGAACGAGTGCGAGTGTTTGCGTTCATTATATATATATACGCATACTACGTCTATTAGCTTGCAGGCTTTACAGTATTATTTATATGTGGCCACCAGATGGTTCCAATTTCAGCATACAGTAGTATATACATATGTGCATATCATAGCGTAAGATCCCCCCAACGCTGCGGCGGTTACGAGCTTTATTTTTGTTTTTACATGCTCTCTGTGTGGGGACTTTGTCGCGCTGCTACTGCTGCTCATTAGACGCGCGAGCCTCGGAGAGCTTGGAAAATCAAGAGCTACGTTTTATTATTATACACCGCACCACACTACATACCCCACACGAGTAATTCATATGTATTATATATAGCCGAAGGTACTGAGTTTTCGGTTTCTTCGGAATAATAATAATGATGATGATGATGATGAAGCTGTGTGGGGGAGGGGGAGAGTAAACTTCATTCGATCCGATATCTCCTCCTGTGCGTATATTTATCGATATCCGATTCGTCGTGTCATCTTTGAGCGACGCGAAACCACATCGAATCGTCTGTTCGTACGGTATATTTATAAGTACAATTAAAAATCAAACGAAACGAGGCTAATACGCCTGCATATACCTGAAAGCCCTATGAGCTACCTATAATAGTATTTATACAAATGAATCTGACTTGATTCGTGCATTCGTTTTTTTTCGTCGTTTCTACTCTCTCTCTCTTTTCGCTTCGAAACTTCCTATAGTTTTCGACGTATAAGAGCTTTTAAAGTTAATCTCAGAAACTATAGTTTCACGTTCATATGCCTGTGTGTACGCCTGCATGTTTCCTCTTTTTGTAAGTAGGTTGATTCCAATTTAACCTCGATGAAAATATTCTCCTAAGTAAGTTATAATGTGGCGAGGTATACTTGTTAACTGATTAAATAATAACAGTTTGCGCGAATCGAGTATTGGATTTCGCTGCACGAAATACGTGTGCATGTGCGCGATGCGAGGGATACTCGATAGGTATTCTCTATTTCGTTAAGCGGGAAGTGAGACGTTTTTGCGACTAATCAAATGTCTCTCTTATGTATTTTCAAACGTCACCATTGCACATGCAGCGCACCGGAGAAAGGAGTCGAGGTGGAAAAAAAACTTTAATCACCCGTCCATTAGGAGGAAGATGATCGTCGTTCTCGCATGTTATTTTTGTCGAGAGACGCAAAGCTGCGCGCGGTGCTCAGGAACAATTTGACCGGCACTCTGCTGCCGCTCGCTTACTTTTTTCTTTCTCTCTCTCTCTCTCTCTCTCTCTCTCTCTCTCTTTCTCTCTTTACGATCCTCGGCTACTTAAAAATTATCTCATTCCACTCCCATGCCACTCGTGCGTCTATTTTTCCAAGCTCTCGTGCGAACGAGAAGAGCAAAGGGACTTGCACGTATTTCATACACACACATTCGCGTACAAGACCATTTTTAAATGTCCTGCGAACGTGTGCGAGTCTCCCCCGAAAAAAAACTTTAAAAAAGGCACGTCACCGTGAGCAGTGGCAGCAGCGGAGCGTGAGAGATGAATCTGAAAATTCACTCGCGCACACGGCACAAAACGTGTCATCCAGAGAGACTCGACGCGTATACGAGCTTGAACAATGAAAGTCGCTTAGACACGCGATATTATTCGCACTTGCGCACGTGCTGTCCGCTATACATACATAGACTCGCGTATAATACGGACATTTAATATGCACGTGCCATTGAAAATCAATGAGAAGAGGAGAGCCGGTGTGAGAGCGAGCGAGCTTATGTGTACCAAGGTTGTATAGGCGCAGGAAGCATCAGCACCAAGTGCAGATTGATCTTTCTCTCTCTCTCTCTCATCCCGCGCCAAGTGACACTGATTGCTGAGTGCGCGATACGCAGAGAAAGAGAAAGAGAGACCTGGACGAGTAATTGACGCGTGCTGCAGTGCACCGCAGTCAGCGCGCGGATACATATAATGTAACGGGTACACGTATAGCTGCACCGCGAGTCGTTTGATTATCGGAACGTATCGAGCTTAATTACATTCTAATGACCGAGACGCACGCGCGAATCGCCGACACATTCGGAATCGTATATATATACGCGCATAGGCTATTATTATTACGCACGCACTGCCACACGCCACGGGGCTTTTCTCGCTTAACAGTATTGTACGCGCTATAT